ATTCCTGCATATGTAATTTCATTGGCAAGACTACATTTACAAAAGTGGTCAAGGATGATCACAAGCTTGAACTTGACAAACATGAGAATCAAGTTAACGACCGGAGAGCTAACTCACTATTACCGGGATTCTTCTTCGTGGAGAAGAGTTTATCAAATTACATTTCACCGAACGATATTATATAAAACCGTTTTACTATTTAGGAAAAATGTCTCAGTTATTTGGCTACTAAAGAATGATTCTTGTGGATATAGACAAATGTAGAAAAATTATGTATTTCTCGCTATCATTAATATGTATTTCTCGCTTCCACTATAGTGGCCAGTCACAGAAGTCTGTATAACTTGAATCACCGCAGCCCATCAAATATTCAACTATTATTTCATTAATATGACCGAGAACGTGTTTTGAAGATTTTCATACAATATTCCTTCCACTATAGTGGCCAGCGGAAAACTCGTCGACTCCTCGTGACATAAACATTCAATATATACATGAATTTTATATTTAAAAAATTCAAAATTTCAAGGCAAAAATGCTAGCCCTCTAAAGGTTAAAGAAACGTCTCCCTTAAATATATAACACTATTAACCCTTTCTTTACCGGGTACGCGTCCGTGAGTAAGCTTTCTCTGTACCGGGGACTTCGCCACAAGTGCTCACTTTAAAGCCTATTCTACAATATGCTCTTTGTTTCCTATTTCTTGCTTTTCCCCCCTTTGCAACCGTTTTAATGACTGTATTTTTTGTTACTGTTTCTTGTTTCTTCCGGAGTTCGTTAAAGCCTATTCTACAATGTGCTTTTAGTTTCCTATTTCTTGCTTTTTGCTATTTTTTGTATCTTGCCTTTTTGCTTCTTATCCCGTTTTTCGTTTCCTGTTGCTCGAGATAAACGAGAACTTCAGAAGAAACAGAAAACACATATCAAGAAATATAATTGTCAATAAAACGATTACAAAGAGGAAAAAAGCAAAAGGTAAAAAGCAAGAAACAGGAAACAAAGAGCACATTGTAGAATAACCATAATTTTTATCTCGGGAAAACAAAAAATCAAATAAGAAACAAAAAAAATGCCCAATTTTTTATTTATCCCTACCCTTTTTTCAAAAACTTTTACCGAGCCTTAAGCTAATCTTAACTTTTTATGCACGTGCTTCATGGATTTTGAGTAGCACAATTCAGCATGGAATGTGAGAAAGTGGTTAATGCATAGAAATATATAACTCAAATTATCTTAACAACCCGGGAAAAAAATGTTATATAAATAGACATGTTTTATATATAATTGTATATAAAATATGT